CTCTCATGTGATTGTCATCAACAGAGACATCTCAGTCTCCTATCTTTCTTCCTTGCTTTCTCCCTCTACTCCGTTTTTTTCTCCCCTCCGGTTCTTGCCCCCCTCCTTCTGGCCCCCCCCCCCCCCGCCACCTCCTGCTGCTCCTCTCCTGACTCGCGGTTGACTTTTCACACTCATTAAAGTGACAGACGAGACGGGCAGAAGGGGGGAGGGAGAGGGCCAGAAATGAATCTCAGCTAAATTTGAACCATACCTAGGCTACATGAACCACAGCTGCAAGTTTAGAAAGGAGGAACGGGGGTGATTGCTACCGTGCGGGGAATTTTAATATTCATGGGAGTGACGGAGGAGAGGAGGGTGACCTTTTTACCAGCTCCCATTCACACTCTCCTTTCCCACTCATCTCATCTCCGTTGTTTTCATTCCTCTTCGCTGATTGAGGGAGGGGAGGGAAAGAATGAAGGAGCGAGAGAGAGTTACTTCTCAACTAGAAGGTCATAGCTCTATTTGATAGCCTTTTGTCTCCCATCCAAAAACAGCACTGTTAATAGCTGCCCATAGGCCACTTTATAATGATTGGACCTTATCTCTAGACACACACAGACAATCACGCACAGACAGCACACAGTTTCTTTATGGTGGCAAGTGGGGAATTTTGCTTAAACGGAAAGAGAACTACGGCTGCCATTTATCCCATTTAAAGCTCTAATACATGGGCCACTGCTATGCTATCCTGCATTTTGTCCCATGTACAATAAGTCCACATACAATACATTTTATTTAATACTGTACATGCATGCGGGATTGACTTTTATACCGTCTTATTGCCTAATAAGACGGTAATAAGACGGTAATAAGACCGTCTCATTGCCTAATGAAATAAATGCCGAGATGACAGTCAACTAAATACTGATCACTTGAGGAGACTGGTCACTTCCGTTCAGGTTTTGGTCTGCTTTTTGTAGGAGAAAGACTCAAATACACACGCAGACACCTCTGTGTGCAGGTATGTGAACGGGCAGGGGCTGTGTGTGAGAGGAGGCAGGTCCTAATTTATAACGCCGGGAGGGTGGGGGGGGGGGGGGGGGGGGGGGGGGGGTGGATGGTGTGGTTCTATAGTTGCCATAGAGACCTCTGTGGCTGACTGTGGGCGCTGCTTTCTGCCTCCTATTCATTCATGAGAGGGAGGCGGTGACACACGCGCACAACACATGCACGACCTAGTGGAATCCCACACCTTGTACATTTTGATAGAAAAGCTCAGACAAGGCAAAAGGAGCAACAGCTGAAACTCATCCCATCTCAACGAATTTTTTAGCAATTAGGTTACAACTTGTGGAATCGGCAGGACAGCAGGCTTTTTCATAAAACACACACGCAGAGCGATCAAAATAGTTACTGTGACAAATCCTATCCCTTGATGCAAACGTTGGTGGAATCACATTAAGTTTATATCGTGCTCCAGCATCAGCATTATTGGACTGTGGTTAGATGACATTCAGGTAACATTTTAAAGCGTGGTAGAGAAGACAAGTTGTCTCCAGCAAAGCTACAGCTTTGTTGTCTTCCTTTTAGCAGGACAAGAAAACGCTTTTAGCAGCTGTGTGGCCGTGAAGTTTTACGATACACCTTTCTGTCTTTTAATATTTCCCATAATTCACCCCTTCTTGTTTCATTCCATTTACATTTACATTATGTCAGTACCTTGAAGCGAGGACTCAACTCAGGATGTTGTTTGAATATTTCCTTACATCGGCAGTACATAATAATTTACTTTCCATCCGTAGATTTTATGTTTGTGTCAGGTTGAATTTACTCACTCGCCAGAGTGAGTAAGCTTTTACTGAGTCAAATGTTATGGAGCTGGCAGATGTGTGCTGTGGGAAAAGCCTAATTCAACAAAACAAGTTCTGTTGAGTAGCTAATCATGTTCTTAAAACATGTCTTAAGTGTAGTAATTATGACAGCGTCAAAATTTCAACAAGTGTTGCTGACTGTTGTGGTATTGCAGCAGCTATTTATCGGAATTCACAGCTGTTCACAACACAGTGATGTACAGTAATACGTACTATGCAATGCGAAGAGAGAGGTGTAGGTCTCTAAATCACATACATTCTAAACTACTAATTGAAGCATCCTCTGTTAATTCCTGCATTAAGTACGCTGGCTTCAAATGTGTTCTTTGCTGTCTTGTAGTTTGAGCTAGTCAGAATGCACATCTGCATGCAATTGGATAGTTAAACTCACTCATGCAGACACTATGCCAATTCAGGAATGTGCTTTTGAAAGTCATCATTTATCGAACTGCACACTTCTTCCTTAGGCAGACGATTTGAATGAATAAAATGTGACAAAAAAGGTTATGTATATTTGAATACATTTTACCCAAATGCAAGAACTAGCCTAACAGGTTTCCAATCTGTTTTTGCATTCAAGCATTACCGTAGAAGGCATTTACGATATTTTACTGTTGAGGTATTACATATCATCAATTAGCATAATGGTTCTTTAGGTGCAGGGATTTTCTTTTTTTTATTTACACCATGAGGATTTAAAACAGTTGCAGCAGTGGCAAACAAGGTGACAAAGCAGTCTGCTTCTGGGGAGCAGAGCGGGTCTTTGAAGCGAGGCAAACAAAGCTGTAATTTAGAATTACGGGTCCAGGGGGTTTAATAGACCCTGCTGAAATAACCAGCGTCACCTTGCTTTGAAAATCGTAGGGGTGGCTGAGCCCGCTACTTTGTTGTTCACCTGTATGCGGTTTATCTCGTCGCAGGTAGAGCAAGAACAAAATCTAGAGAGGACGTTCGGTAGCACAATGAATGGTGGCGGAAAGCAAGGAGAGGTTCGGTGAATGGAGAGAAGATTAGAGAGGAATGGGAAGAAGGTGGGATTGTGAAGTTTTACTCATTAACAATTTCTACGTGAACTTGCACATTGTCATATACCATACCGTTTGTGGTAAAGGAATTTCCTACCGTGAGATCAATAAACTACTGCTACTACATATGTATGTGTCAGGGGCTTGCTTTTGGCACCTAAATGGATGTGTGTGTGTATGTGTGTGTGTATGAGGAAGAGAGAAGAAGAAGAAAGCATGGACCTAAAATTGTGTAAAACCATGGAAAGAAAGTGTGTGCATATGAGTAAGTGGTTGCTGTAAGCGTGCGTGAAAAAGGGGTGAGGCAGAGAGGGAGATGAATTGCATTGTGCTCTGTAGTGTTGGGGAGGAGAGGGGATTGAGGTTAGAGACTCGAGATAGCGACTGGGGATCAACACATTCAGAGCTTCAAATGGCTTTGAGAAAACCAATCAAACCAGCATACACTCTCTCTACATCTCGCTCACACAGTGTCTCTCTCTCTCTCGCAGGGTCTCACATACACGCATGCACTCGGTCGGACATGCCCAATATCTTCAGTGGGGTGGAGTTCACTGCACTATTGATCTGCTTCCATGTGGCTGTGATTAACTTGAATGCAACACGCACGCACATGCGCGCACGTACTTACACACAGTGAATGCTGGTTTGAAATCTCATCTGTCTGGCTCATAGCTAGATGACTGATATGGAACTGTCAGTAAGCCACTTAAATAGCTAATGCATCGGCACACACAAAAAGGGTCGGGTAATGCATTCAGGGGTAATCTTCCATCCATGAAAGCCTTAAAGCTAGCAGCGCCCAACAGTGACAGACAGAAGAAAAAAAAACGAACAACCCAACAAGTGTCTTCATTGGGGTATCCATGAAGTCCAAATTTGAATAAGATGTCCATGAGGTTTAGTACGCATCACAAGCCTAAACACTGCACCACAGTTTCTAAAACCATGAGAATGGACTTTGAAACTCTGAAAAGTTATCATGGCAGGATACATTGTTTTCCTTAATGCCAACCTATTGTGATGTAAACAGTTGAATGCCATTATTTGCTTTGCAAAGTAATTTGCATTGGCTGCATGCTGTTGAGTTGTATTGCAGTGATCTGAAGTTTGTAATGTTCTTTCCCCTCACTATACAGTTAGGATTAACTGCATAGTATCACAATATTTCTGACCAAATACATCGATATCGTTATTGCAACAATAATTTTGGGTTGACTATTGGTGCTTTCACAAAATATTTATATATTATGTAATGAATAAGTATGTAAGGCAAATACTAGAACTGCTAGGTAAGTATAGAAAATTCAGCCATATCTAATCTAATTTACCTTTTTAAAAACGTGTCACTTTTCAAATGTGAAAATGTCTTTGTTGGCCCAAACAGGAAATCAACTCCTATGGAAATAAGAAACACATCTCATGCAGGAATTCCACAAAAATCTCCTTTAGACAGATGTACAGTTTTTAACCCAATTTTAGGTGGAGTGCTTCAACTACTCCAATTGACAACCCTCCCGCACTTCACAGCGGATGGGATTATAAGACGTTTTTTGCTCACACATTTAGAACACTTTCAACCAGTCACTCTGCCTCACGCCTTTTCTCACCTGTCAATCACATTCATGTTAATGATCACACTTCATTTTTAGCTGTCGCATAGCTGTCATCCAGCCCTAAGCTGTTTCCGTGATCTGCGGCTGACAATACTTCACTTCTCCCACGACAAAGCAGGTTGCACTCCCAAAGCAACTTATGATTCACATTGAAATACTTTTCCAGGGCTGTTGGGTGGCTTTCAAAGGTTACTTATCTTACATTGAAAAAGGATATTGAGCTTTTAATAGTTTTAACACCCCCACTGCTTCCATCAATGACCAATCAAATGGGACATTTTTTGTTTTTGTTTTGGTGTCTCTGAAGTAAAGATAGGAGAACTTGCATCAGCGGTGAAAGAAAGACAGTATTAAGCAATGGCAGTGTCTCAATTTCCTGGCAGAAGGCCCTTCAGCACCAGTTCCAAACTTTCACAGGAGCTTCCCAGCAGAACCTCAGCTTCCTCTGTTACTCCCTTTCTTGCTCTCTCTAACGCACACTTTGTCTTCCTCTATCTCTTCAGGAGCTTCAGTTTGAACGCCTGACCAGGGAACTTGAGGCTGAGCGTCAGATTGTCGCCACCCAGCTGGAGAGATGCAAGCTGGGATCAGAGGCAGGCAGCATGAGCAGCATCAGGTAACATGGAAGCCCTGCTTTTCTGTGTGCGTGTGGTGGGGTGGGGTTATGAATTAACACACAACGTCCCCATCTTTTGTGTGTGGTGATTGGCCGATTATTGTGTGGAAAGGATATGTCTTTATGGGTGTGTCCTTAAACACCGTCAGGTAAAAGACATATTGTGTTTGTACGTGGGACTTTATGGGTTCCTGCCTTTAACATACACAAGATTGTGTACATGCAAGTATGGCTCTAACTGGCACCCCCGACTGCCCATGCACAAGTGGAAACATAACTTAGAGTGTGATGGAATAGGTTCTGCGTCCTTCATGACACTAACGCTGCCCCCCCCCCCCCCACACACACACACACACCCACACACACACACACACACCCACTGAAGCATACACACCCTGGGTGTTTTTTCCTCGGAAAAGTGTGTGATGCCACTGGAAAAGAACAGTGTTCCCCCTGCTGTTGGGTGCATTTATCAGCTGGATGGATTGGGACAACACTGAGGTTGCAGGCGGAATCACACACAGGGATAAATGCACTCACACGCATGACATAACAATGTGAGAATACGATAACACTATTCACAAATGCATTAGCATTTGCACTCTCACATACAGCACTGACACAACATTATAGCTGCCATGGGCTCGAGATAACAGACACATAGACACAAGCATCAGCAACTTTGGCAAAGGTGTGATAACACACACTTTCACCCACACATGTACATGGTTTCAAAAAGTCTTCTTAGAGACTTTGCTTTGCCACGGAGACTCGGGTCAAGCCTTAATATTACTCTTCCTGGAAACCCTTTAATCACATTACAGCATTAATTAGCATGTTAGCCACAGCCCTGAAAGCCTTCAAAATACTTAATTATGTCCCCCATTTATAAGTCTGACCTTTCTGTTGCCAAAATGTATTTTCAGATTAGGGAAAGAGAGCTCTTAATGATAGAGGGAGCACAGATGAGTGAAGGGTGGATGGAGGAGAGGAGATGAACGCGACTAGCATGCTAATTTTGAATTTGATGCTAACATCTCAAACCTTGAGTTCAGTATCTGCCGCTCTCCTCTCACTAAATCACTGTCCCTTCACATTCTCCTTGATACATGCTTAGCCTGCCTGTAAATAGAATTCCTTGACGAAAAGTAAAGTTTGTCAGAAAGTTATTTTGCGGAGTTTTGTGTGTGTGCATGCGTGTGTGTGTGTGTGTGTGTGTGTTTGCATGAATTTTGCTGTGATGTCAAAGAGTCAGGTTCATACAAATTCAGCATTCCTCTGACTCCCTCAGGCATCTTATTTCATAAGTACACAACCCTGAGTGGGGGGAGCGAGGAAACAGAGCACGCTGGAAAAAAAGGCACTTTTGAACCTTCGCAGTTCATTCTACTTGATCCAGCTGAGTCTCAGATGAGACTTTTTGAAAGTTTAGAGGTTTGCTTCCTGTGTTTGTGTTGAAGTTCTATTGTTTAATATGCTAGGATAGTCATTTACAAATAACCAGCACCAAACCAACATCAAAGACAAAGTCACTGAGTCTTTAACATTTACAGTATATTGGTGAAATACCCTTCGAAATATTTTACAAGTGTGACTAAACTCGATATTGTTTATTCGATTTCTTTGATTATGCGGTGTGTTTGTAATCCTTAGGCAAGTCCTCACTATCATGTGAGACTGTTGTTACTTACTATAATACTGGTCATTAGCACTTTAAAAAAATTCTCCCACAGCATTTGAAGTTAATAAATGTAATCTATGATGGATTTGATAAAATAGTTGGCTCCAAAAAAACCAGATAACCCTTAAAAGTTCAATTCAGATTGAATCAGCCTTCCATATACAGTATTCATGTATTTGCATTGATTATTCAAAGGTTTCAGTTCATCTTCCACTCCTCTTTTTACTCTCGACTCTGTGATTTGTTTTCCTTATTAGCCCTATGTCAAGCCAATTCACATATAATATGTTTGATGTTGGACAGCTCCGCCAGTACTTTTAAATGCTGCAGCTGAGAAAGCAAAGACGTGAGATTCTGTCTTGATGGAGTCCTCCAGATTGCTTGTCTGGATTTACTTAAATATTTTGTCAGCACATTTGAAACTCTTGGATGAGCTTTATCTTCCACTTAAACCCAACATATGGCTTGTCACTTACATGTTATGTACAATATGTTGTGTTATATTCCTTACTGGCAACATCATCTGAAGTCTTCATGTCCTCAGCATGTAGTAAAAGTCATTGAGAGAAACACTTCACCATGGTTTTATCTGAACTTGTGCATCTGTTTGGATGCATTTGCCTTATGCTTGTGCGAATGTCTGCTTGTTCATCTGCCTGTGCTGCAATAGCCTGTTTGCTGTCAAGTCTGCTGTCTCATGGTTGCATCATCTTACGATTATCACATCAGATATAAAGGATTGGCTTAGCTAAGCTTTTGTCTGCCGACAGCTCACTATATGCCACTGAGTCCACATCCATCCCTGTGTGCTCTCAAATGTGTCATGCGTGTCAACTAAAATGTGTGATGTGCATTTGTCTTCCCTTTTATGGTTTTATCTTTTATGTCATTTTGATTGACACTATCCTTTATGCAGATTCCAACAAGGTCTGATTTTTTTTGTTTTTTTCCTAAGCCTAAATATAGATATTAGTGTCTGCAACATAACTAGGAAGGATCAGAGAAAGACTGATGCTATTCAAAGAGACAGTGCTAACCTTTCCCATAGTCTCCAACATCACCACTCATTTTCTGCCCCTTCATCAGGGTCTCAGTGACAGGCAGCAGCTAAATATAGAGTGCAGTGGCTGGCTCTGAGTGAATAGGTGTTGTAATAAAGCACAAGGTAAAAATAAAGGAAGGCAAACAAGGGAGTTAGATTGGGAGGAAAAATGTAGACAGCTACAAATAAATAACACTAGGGGTCTTTTAAATATTCTAAATTATTATTTGATATTTTATGAAAAACTTACTCTCATCTTATCATTCTAAAGTTATGTTTCTCCTGTCATGACAGTCTATATTCTCTTTCAAAATGTTTCCTGTTGGCTTTAAGCTGCAGCCACCATATTCACTCAGCAGTGGGTCCATTACTCTGTTAGAAGCCTATCAGGGTGAAAGCCAACTTACGGGCACAAGCTACCTGGTACCCTGTAGTTTTGTGTGTGCCTGTGTGTGTATTATTATTCCAGGTGTGTGGGTTTTTGTATGCTCTCTGCTTGTTGGTTTGTATTGCACATGCTTGGAGCGAGGGCTGTGTTTGTGTTTGCGTGTCTGTGTGTTCTTGGCAGCCGCTGCGAGCCTGCGTGTCCTTAGTTGTGTTCCGCTCGATAAAGCGATTCAGGCATCTCCACGGACTCCTCGTTCAGAGCTGAGGACCCTAAAAAAAAATATCTGATTGTGGATGCAGAAACCCAGGGCATTACTGGCTAACATCTGTTCACACTGTGAACTGTTGGCATGCGACACAACACTTTACAGGAAGGAAGCACACACGGGCAGCACATACACATTCACACGCAAACACGTCGACTCCAAACACCATGCCGGGACTCATTTATCATTTTTCTAACATTAGTGGTAAGTGGCAGCCAGTGGGAAACATTTACTCCTGCTGTGTTTTCTGCCCGACTGGCTGTGCAGCTCAAGCCTTCAGTGCTCTTTTAAAGGGGTAAACCACAGAATGTATGGATTTTAATTAGCATTCATATATTATTCACCATTACAGATATGCCAAAACAAACAGTGATACAGGGCCAAATGATCTAAGATTAAGAATAGGATACGGCAATGTAGTTGCGTCAGTTTTTCCCGCAAATAGAGATAATTTCACCACGATAAGTAACTGCATATGTAGAAGAAGGCGATTATAATAATTAATTGTGACGCGTCGCTTGCCTGTTATATGCAGTATACCATAGCGGGATTAGGAGGAGATATATTGGTCAAAACTCAGAGAAGTCAACATATGGAGACACCGGGGTTTTAGCATAGAAGCATGGTGTAAAACTTCCAGCGACAATAGCAGTTTTCCATACATTGTTACTCCAAAAGCTACAGGATGTTCAATCTTTAGGGTTGTACATTTTGATGATCGTGGTATCAAACGAAACCTGAACTGTACAAGGCCAAATCACTGGAATTACTTTTAAACTGATTTGCTCCAGTTTTACAAAGCCACCGTCAGTAGCTGCTCTCATCTATTCCATTGCAACCTATTGCAGTAAAACCTTTGTTCTGAACTTCGCGATGGCTTCTCGGTGCTCATATCACGTCTGTTTTTTCATGAACAATGCAATGAATTACCCATCAAAATCGTTCAGCAGATTGTAGAACGTGTTATAGGAGTGCCTCACCAGTGTTTACTGAGACGTAAGGCAGATAAATCTACAATTCCTAGACAGATCCAGATCATTAAAGCTCCCATGGCCGTCCTCTGCCTTGCTGGGCAGTCTGGGACACATTATTGGTGCAGTAAAGCACTGCTCGATGAACTGTTAAGGAAATAATGTGTTGCTGGCTACTAAGCTAATCATGACTCGGGGCAATGCTGTAGATTATCAAAGCAATATATATATATATGATGTCACTTACAAGCTTATGGATACATGTATTTATGTTGTTGTCATATTACACTGACTGCTAGCAAATATACTACCGGCTTGATGCATTATGGCTACTGTTATGGAGTATTTATATGTGATATGAAAGATGACGAATTGTAGATGTTACAGCAATTAGTTATGCTTTCGAGCAAATAATGCACAGTGAAAAAGAGACAGAGTGCAGTTGTTGTAAAGCCGTGTCATTAAAGAAAAAGGGAGAAGCAAGTCCATTATGATTCGCCAATTTATTCTAAAGCAGAAAGGTCATGTCAGATAATAGGAATTCAAGCCGAGGCAGGCAGCCCCTCAGTTGGTATGCAGATGACAAGCGAAGTTGCCCGAAACAAATGTGACCTCTAAATGAGTGTTTTGTTGTGCTTAATGGAATTGTTAGC